GGCATACTCGTCTGGTACCACAAGCTCTGACTCTGTTACAAACCCTGCAGGAAGGTAACTGACTTCCCCGCCATCAAAGTACACACCATCACACCCAGAACTCTGCAAGAGGCTTCTGATTTTACCAATAAACCACATCTGGGCATCTCTACTGGTCACGTCAATAACAGTCCCATAACCGTTCCACCATTTAACAATCCCTGGGGCATTTCCCTTTGCACTGTTAACCCAATGGCCTTCTCTGAGACCTTCAACAAAAGTCATAGAATCATAGTTTGCAAATGGATGTATCCATAAACTGACTTTAAACTGTTCCTGTTTCAGTTGTCCTATCATACCAACAGGGTCGGGAAATTTGCTTGGATCAAAGTCAAAATCGCCATACTTCGTGGAGTAACCATCGCCGATTTCAATCACACTGTGAGTGAGATTGTTGTTTACAATACCGGTTGCATAGTTGGTGACAGTCGTTTGGTTCGTGCTTGACTTTAGGTACGGCCATGTGGCCCATCTAGGGGACTGCATCAGTGTTGTGTCTGGTTGTACGGACTTTGTGGTGTTTACTCTTGGCAAGATATTGTCTAACACATACTTGTGCACAGCTTTTACATCAGAACCAACACAGAGACTGTAGTTAAGCATGGGTTGTGCGTTCTTGGGATCGGGAAATGGCGACCTGTCATACCACGCCTTTAAACACAGTTTTTCGTTGCTGATCCCCACGTGTAGAGGGACCTTGTCGTCGACGACAACCGCAACTCCCGTAGACGACAGAAAGTAGCGCTCCAGGATGGACCCAAACCCTTCTGGCTCCATTCTCAGATCTGAGGACACGAATGGTACTGTGGTTCTGTTTCCTTTCTCTAACGGCCACTCCTGTGTGTCCATCTCTCCCCCTCCATACCAGTGTCCTGGTAGCATGTTCAAGCAATCCTCTGGGGCCAAGGTTGGCTTATAAATCTCCCAGACTATACGGTAACATTCCACTGCATCATTAACGGACCTAGACGTTATGTGCACCTTTGCGAAGGTTTTCCACTCCAGACAGACAGTATTCTTCCCCCCGCACCAGTACGGAACGACGTGGTCCGGAAGGTGCACGCCTACACGGCCGTCTAGGATCTTCTTTCCCCGCCGATTCTCCAAAGAAAACAGTTTGGTCTTCTCGAACAGTCTGTAGGTGTGGCCGATGTCGGCTTCCAGTTCTGGCTCCTCATAGAAGTACCAGATCGTGATGACCCCTCCTATGATCAGCACGGCCAGAAAGAAAACGCACGCCTTCAAGCGAAACTCTCGCGGCTCTTTGGGGCTATCCGAAGGCGGCGCATCTTCCTTAACGTTATCGGAAAACTTCACGGCGTTTGGGCCTTCTTCTACGTCCACAAAGGGGTTCTGAGAAGTGTCCGACTCGGTTCTGTCCCTGGCGCCGGTTGGAGAAGGCGGGACGTTCGGAGTCCATCGTGGAACTGCCAGGCGCTGCTGACTGTCATCAGTGTCCACAGTTTGAACCTGAAACCTGGTGTTCTTCTGTGGTTCACTGGGTTCATCCACAAGCACCTCTTGGGAACCCTCCATGACTCTACTACAACAATGGCTGGTTATTTCTGAAAGACAAAGGGCGATACATAATTTATGATACAACTCCTGTAGGGACATATTGAAATCTTTCTAAGAGTGATGTAATATTAGAAATGCACAATATTCTTCTGTCGGGCAAAAAATTTCATCAACACTTCTAGGGCACAAAAAAAAACGTTGACTAGATAGATCTAGATATAAAGCCTAAATGGGGTTATAAAACATTTAGAACATTGTTTTCATATGGAAAATTCGAGAGCGCCAGTCGAATGTTTGTGACTGAGGTTGTCGATACCTTCGATGCTCGCAGACGTAAACTAACACACTCTTTCACCAATCGGCTCCTCAACAGTAATAACAGTATCATAAAACTCGCAATCCACTCAGACTTATCATCCACCAGTCACTACTGGGATCACTATATCGGCCTAGTCTACCGGTAAGGCCTTTCCCGTATGTATATGTACCGAACCCTACCGTTTTTACATGTGCGCACCTTGTTATTTTAATTGTTTGTCTACTATGGGCCAATTTGCGCCTGAAATAAAGAATTAAAAAAAAAAAAAAAAAAGTTATAAAATGTTGGCACAATATGTTACCCCCAACACTGGCCCCGACATTACGTCCGTGTACAGTGGCAACTCAGACTAATCATACCATACTGTTTATGCATGTCGCGTACTGGGGCCACACTCGTGACATGACACCGTTATTCGGGTCTATATTATTTACTTTCATCATAGCCCCCGGCCCGCCCCCCTCCCCACCGGAACATCGATATCTGTTCTCTTTCATTCAAGAACAACTAAAAAAGAAACATCCGTGGCTATCTTACCAAATGAATTGCACAGTTAAAGCAATGTGTCGTCTTTCATTACCCAGCTGCTAGCCGATTTTTGGTCTGGCCTGCTAAAACTTTCCATATCGGAGCGGCGCTTCTCCAGTTCGCACCGGATCGACCTTGGTGACTTCTGCTCGTCCCGAAGATACCCGACTTTTGCCGATGTCACTCGGATTTCCATTCGGGAAATATCGGCCTTCTCCGGCAAAGTTCGGCAAAGTTCGCGGTTTTAATCCACCACGTGACTCCCGTGTCGACCGAGGAGAAAGAAGCGTGCCCGAAAAAATTATGGCTGCAAATAACTATTTCGGGTTTACCCACGGAGGGACCCAATACGGGTAAGCATTTCCTCACCTTATTGTGGAAAATGTACAGGGAGGGAGTAGAAATAGTCCACATCGCAAGTAGTATCCGCAGAATCGAGAAAAGATGGTTTAATTCCGTCCTGACAATCTGATATACTACCTTGGCCAAGATGGCGACTGGTTACCGCATGCCGCAAAATTCTGATGTCATTTGCGGACTAAATAACATTACCGATTCAGGATTTAGAATATCCAGAGAGGAGAATTGTTTCTGTGCAAGATTTTGAGCATATTTTGTGAGGGAAGGAGGCTGTTGTTGGTGGTGTTTAGGTGTGAGACTTTGGTATAAATGCCGGGTGAAAGGCCTTTGTCTGGCCTGTCTGGAGAGGCCGGCGTCATCTGCATGGACAAAAATTATTGGGACAGCTGTCACCAACGCTTACCAACACCGATGTTTGGGCGATACGAAATTATATGCCGAACAGAATTATTTCTCATACCCTTTGTCACTGTTTGTGTTTTCAAAGATGCAGTCTTTGTTTTTGACCTGTAGCTTATCACAGATAGAGGTTGTAGTGCGTTGAAAATTATGGTTTGATGGTGACCTAGATTTTTTGTGCAAACACAAATGCTCTTGCTCAGTAATTAGATTTCTGTGACCCCAGGCTGAATCTGCTACAGCTTGTGCTTGGTTCCCAAATCGATCTCAGGACATCTCTGCATAAGGGTCTCTTTCACTAGTTTAGAGCTTTTCCAGGAAAAAGATAATAAATCATTACAAGACTGGACATACTTTCTAACCATGTAATCACACCAGTGACCTTGTAGACCGCCAATACTTTCATAAGGTAATTTTGCTTACCCTTGTTGGTTGCATTTTTTTCAACTCTGGAGAATGATTTCTGTGTTTGCAAAAATTACCAGGGCTTCTGGAGTCAATAAAATTTCCATGAAATCAGTGTGAGAAAACTCCCAAGCACAGATACATGAATGGCTTTGCCCAATATCAATGTAGATGTAGATAATTAATTAGATGTAAGACATTTCCCAACATGTGATCAACACAAATATTATCTCACCTCACAATATGATGAATAATTTGCCATTGTTATCTCACAGAGAGGCATTTAATTTTAAACATGTACATACTGTCAGTTGTTCATAAATGGTGTTTTGTTACACTTGCACCCTGACTTTGCAGGATGAAAGTTGATATTATCATCCTTTTTTGATACCTCAGAGAACAGTTCTCTGACAAGCTATGGCCATGTGTTGCTGTGGTATTTCTAGTCAGTGTTCGTTCCCACGAAGTTTGTCATCGTGAGAATTGCTTTCAAGGCAATTTGTATGACAGTCCTGTTGCCATACAAAAGAGAACTAAGCCAGGGATAAAGGGTTGAGTCTAGGTACTTGGAATTGCCTTCACTCACTGTATGTCGTTATTCTGAGCCCTGTAATTCTTAGAAATGCACCAACCAGGTACATAGGAGTCGGAGACAGTGGGAGTCACTGCATGCTTATGCTAATGCGGGCTACTGTTCCTGACGTTATGCCCAATCAGGCATGATGTACAAGTTCCACCTTGTACATCCTGTGCTTGCATAGTTAGTTTGGCACTAGTTACGCCTATAGTATGCCCTTCCTTCCAGTAATGTCACAGACAACTATTGGGTACTAGTGCCACTTGAACTTTGTTAGTGTCCAATAAAATCAGTCAGATACTCACAAGCTCACTCAGTACCTTGCTTTTTAAATTTATCTCCCCAATTCCTGTCTCACATTTTGACAACCAAGGTATTTCTGTCCTGTTGATTGGTGAATTTTTCCCTGGCTTTCCATAACTTCTTTTCCATGGGTTGGTTCCTGCAGTATCATTCTGTTTATGTACGGTTTCATCAGTCTACAGGAATAGACTGGCCCTGGCTGAATTTTTATTACCTTCGCCAAGAAGGTTATGTTTTTCAGGGGCGTTCGTGTATGTGTGTGTGTGTGTGTGTCTGTCAACACGATAACTTGAGAAGGCCTTGATGGATTGTCTTGATACTTGGTAGATGGGTAGGTCTTGATGAGACCTCAAAATGATTAGACTTTTGGACCCCCCCAGCGGCTTGTTATGGTACTGCAGCTGTAACTTCCGGTTTTGATATCTCAAGATCCAGACATGCTATGGTGACGAAATTTGGATGGTAGGTAGTTCTTGTGCTGGGGAAGAAGAGACGTGAGTTTAGGCCCCCTAGCGGCTTGCTCTAGAACTGCAGGGGGGTTTAAAGGACAAATGTTTAAAAGAGGATAACTCAAGAACCGATTGATGGATCATCGTGATTTTTGGTATGTAGGTAGCTTAAGTGATGCTTGACATAATGATATTACAATTATGCGAATATTGATGTAATTTGCATAATTAATGAGGAAATTCTATAAATCAGCTGCATTCCATGATAGGAAGTTCAAACTTGTAACATATGTTATTAAAAACGAGAGAAACACAGGCAAATATTGATTATGCAAATGAAGACTTAATTTGCATAATTAATGAGAAAATGTTATAATTGCGTAGTGGTAACTGCCTGGAATTTCATACTTGGGGTGTTTGAAAGTTAAGTGAAGGTGAACATAATTAAACATAACTTATTCAAATAAGGACCACATTTGCATAATTTATGAGAAAATGGCATTCTTTGTTAAGATAAGACTGTCTTTTGGTGGATAATATGATCAACAGACTGATATAATTCATGCAATGGAGGATCCTATTTGCATAATCAGGGTGATTAGTAACGTTATATTTCTTATTCATAAAGGCTAACATCATTTGGCGAAGGTATGAGATCGTGGAACTCTAGTTTTGTCTGTAATCATGACTTTGCCAGAGCGTCAAAACTTACGATTATATTACTTTAGATTCTGAGCAATTTATTTGTATTACTTAATTGGAATGCAACCATTTCCGATTTCTATAGCAGAAAAAAAAAGATAGCTGATCACTGTACATTTACTGTCACAGTGGTTTTATTTTAGAGTTACAGTAGGAGGGAAAAGGATGTTGAAACAACATAGTACAGTTAGTTGTTGTACATGAAAACACCATATTTGCACACAATTTGATGTGAATGAAATGAAAACAGACACTGCAAAAATAAAACCACTATAAAAGTTTCAAGATTTACAAAATTCTTTTTCTAGATTTGGACATTTTGTATCACGATATGTTAATTTCTTAAGGTGTAAAACACTGTAAGGTTAAACCACTAAGTTATTTTACACTTATTTTCCAGTGTTGCATATCAGTATTTGTAACATAAAGATTAAAACAAGTTCGTGTAGATTAAATGTTCAGGTGTATGTAGTCTTGCATTTGGCTTCTTTGCAGGTTTAGAAATGTTGTTAACAAACTGTGTAGGTCGCAACTTTTCAATCTTATCATGTATAGGTCGGCCCAGCCTGTGGGGTCTTACTCGCAGCACTCAGGACAGAGCGCGTATGCGGCGGCCCAGCACCAGCCGACACACCAGGCCGCCGCTGCAGGGTACGCCACAGCCGCGGCCCCTCGCCACACCCAGCCCGCCACCAGTTACGAGAGCTACTCCGCCTCTCACGCCACCAGCCAGTATGGGTACACCTCGCGGCAACAAGACCCCCCTCCCCCACCACCAGCATCCACACAGAGTTACCAGGTAGTCAACAGATGCTAAGTTGAACCAGTGGTCTCAGCTGGATTTTTTTCACAGCGTAGGGTTTGGGTACAGAAGGATAACTTTGTACATGGCTCAGGTCATGCATTGAATCCAAAAAGTATGACCACAGCAAGGGGTCTGGTATTCTCCCCCAAAAATTTTTAACATGTATAGCTTCATTCTAAAGTCAAATTTTCATTTTCATTTTTTAAACAGATATATGAAGGTTCTGCCCCTCCCAAAACACCCCTACGCTAATTGAATGGTAGTGTAGGGGGGGCATAGTGGGTCCCTACTCTCAACGTATTACTTCAACTTTGTAAAGTCTGTAGAAGTCAAGTTGAAAATTGTCCTATCTGGTAGGGATAACAGTCTGTTCTCCATTGTTTCTTTGATTGACACGTTTTCCTTCGTATTTCTACAGACGTCGTACAGTTATGACCGTGGTTCTGCCACCACTGCGTACGAGAGTAAGCAGTACTACACACCGGCTGCCCAGCCAGCAGCTCATGCTGCCACGGAGCCTTACTACCAGACTACTACAGGTAGGGTCTGGGTAGAAACATAGAACTGTGGGCGTTAGTTTTGTGTGGGTCATGAGAAGTATTTTCTGATAAGTTTCCAATCGGTTGTCCAACCATGTTATACAAGTAAAAGATTTTATCCTATGCACTTTTGTAGATCAACATGACTGTTATAGCTTACAAACAACTGATTTCAGCAGTACTGAGCTGAACATCTGATCATGATTATAATTTTCACATTTGAGGACAGCCTCTAGCTAGCTCGAAATCTTTTTTCTCTCAGCCCTGGCTCATGATTGGACCTGGGGGAGGAGAGCCCTGTATTAAAAATTATATTTTTGAAAGGTCTACAATGTGATAACAAGCACATTCTACCATATCTGTTACAGCGGCTAAGTCCTACAGTACCCCTGCCAGTACCGGGTACTCGGCCGGCACTGCTCGAGCAGCCACCACTGTGAAAACCCCAGGCACAGCCTCGTACAGCAGTTACTCGGCGCCGACGTCGCACCAGAGTACCACGTCGTACGGCCAGACCACCCTGAGCACCACCCCGGCCACGTACACAGGTAATCATGGTGGGCAAACTTTCTACTTCTTCTCAAAATCTGTCAGTGTTGATGTTTAGGTAAAGTTTGTTGTCAGATGGCACTTGTTTTCAAATGGTAGCAGCACAATATATTATTCAGCATAGATATGATGCACATTAAGGCTCAAAGTACCCACACACAACTTGCAATTAGCATGTGATTTTCAGGATTTGCATGAAAAGATAATCTGAACATGCAATTTTGCAGGCTGAACTTGAATATTTAATGCTGATTTTTAAAATTGCATGAAAATTTTTGGCAAACATGCAATTTTGCATGTAGCCCCCCTCTCCCCAAAAAAGAATTTCAACTCTGCATGTAAAAGGGATTAAATGGTAGTCATGCTTGGAGACAATTGTGAATGTGTCAAGACAATTGTACACACTTTTGTGATGCTTAATTGATAAACTGTCATTGACGTGAACATGTTTTCTACTGAACAGCCACCTACTCTGGTTACGATGCAGCCGTCTATTCCGCCGCCACTGCCTACTACCAGCAGCAGCAGCAACAGAAGACCGGGCTGGGCTGGGGCTTCAAAAACAAGTTTGGACAGAACCAGAAGAAACAGAAACAGCCGCCCAAGCAGCCGCAGATCCACTATTGTGAAGTCTGCAAGATTAGCTGTGCTGGGCCACAGGTAATATGTCCAGTCATATTGGTATCATTAAAACTAATTACATTGTGACCTCAAGTCAAAGTAAATGCTACCTAGATTCTTTTCATTCCCTTGTCTTTGGGGTCTTTGTGAGACTTGCAGAATTGTAGAAATTATTTTATTGCGACAGTAATGCAAACAAACTTTCACCTCAAAACAATACTCATACGAACCACTCGCATGTTTTTGGCTACAATAAGGGACTGTAGTGAAGACAGATGTTTGTTTACCCTAGACTTGAAAAGTTTATGGTTATACCCATTTCAGAAGCATTCATAGGGAAGCTTGTTCCACAGTGATGTAGTTCTGGGAAAGAAGCTTTCAGCATGGAACTTTCTCCTGAGAGATGGAGTATGGAGGAAGAAAGGGTGATTTGCTTCCTTAGTAGTGGCAGAATACTTCAATGTTCAAGATTGGGTAATTGTAATGCTTTTGGAAAACCCATGCAGACCTACCGTGAGCACCTGGAGGGACAGAAGCACAAGAAGAAGGAGGCAGCCCTGAAGGCAGGCGGCACCACCACAGCCATGCGGCCCGGACAGAGCCAGCTGCGATGTGAGCTGTGTGACGTTACCTGCACCGGCACTGATGCTTACAACGCACACATCCGAGGGGCAAAGCATCAAAAGGTATGAGGGAGGCATAGGAGATATTGTAAGAAGGGGATATGAATGTACATGTAGTGCTGTAATTCATTTTATGTTGAAGGGCATGTCTATGTAAGCAGGTGCAGAAAAAAGAAAGTAAGCTAATTATTTGTTAACGGTAATGATAATTTCATGGTACAGAAGTGACCGTGAAAGCGGTGAATATAAAAGGACCTATGTGTAGTTTTGTTAACTAATTAAAAAGCTAAACTTCCAGTACTGTTTGAAGGAATGCAGTAAAAAGTCTGAGGTGTTAACATCATGTTCCCCCAGGTTCTGAAGTTACACACCAAGCTGGGCAAGCCCATCCCGTCTACAGAGCCCGTCCTGGTGACTGCTGGTGGCGGTACGTCCACCACAACGTCGACCGCCCCCGCCAAGGCGACCACCACCACCACACCTGCCAGCACGGTGCCTAAACCCAAGGCAGCAGCCGCAACCGCAGCTGTCGCAGCCGCAGTGCCCAAGAAGGTCGTCACGCCGAAGATCACCTTTGTTGGTACGGTCTGCTCGCTTGCTTCCATAACTAAAAATTGATAAGAGGATTGTAGTATTCATAGTCAGCAAAGTAGCATCAAATTTCTGCCAGCTAACCAAATGCGCAGAGCTCTGAAGTGTTCTCTTGCAAGATACTGTAAATCTCTTTATGTTTGCAGTAGCAAAAATTTGCAGTCCGAGAAAAATGAACTTGTTAGCAGTGATGATAAATACAGCAAATGACTACAAAAACAGCGAATGTAAAAGTACTGCAAAAAATCTTGATTTACAGTACATCTACTTTCTATGATATATAAGAAATTGAGTCCCAGGAACACAGAAGACAATGGGTAAGAAGTTTCTTGGTCTTGTCATGGAAAATTGAAACCGAATAATGAGGCTTGGACCAACATGTAGCTTCTACCACAGGTGGCACCAAGCTGAGTACAACTCCTGGTGGCATCAAGGCAGAGGAGACCAAGGTGACGGAGATTACGGCCAAGGCTGCTGTAGCCAGCACATCCACTGCACAGACTGACGCTGGTAAGACATCAAATTTGATTACTGTAAATCACTTAATGCTTGTGGTAGCAAAAGTTGGGAGTCTGAGAAAAATGGACACATTTGTAGAACTATATGTTCACGGTGGCAGCAGGTGTAGCAAAAAAGAAAGGCGGTGAATCACTTGCTGACAGTAATTAAGTTTGTGGTACAGAAGTGCCCACGAAAAAAGTCATGATGTACAGTGTTAAGATGTCTTTGTTTTTCATTTTAATTCTAGAGTACAGCCTCTTTGCTGATTAATGAGCAACTTAAGGAGTTAATCTATCAGTGATTTCTATTTTTTCTTTGCTTTGTAGTTGTCCATATAACTCATTTGTTTGATCCCTTGTATTTCCCCTTGGTCTATAGGAAAGCAGGAAGAGGCTTCCAAGTTGCTGCAAGAATTACAGGCAAAGGAGGTGCAGCCAGTTGGTAAGTTAGAAACATTTGTTTAGGTGAAGAAATGGGCGTTTTGCTTTGTTCTGGGATGATATGTACTCCCACCAAGTCATACTCACTGATATGTTCGCTTCTACAAAATCATATTCAATTATTAGACATAAAACATGGTGCATTTTTGCAATGTGTGCTTCCTTCCAGGTGAGGAATATATTGAGGAGATCAAGAATGCGGATGGCAAAGTCATACAGTTCCACTGCAAGCTGTGCGAGTGCAAGTTTAACGACCCCAATGCCAAGGACATGCACATGAAGGGGAGACGCCACCGCCTGCAATACAAGGTCTGTTCACATACGGCATTGTATGTTTCTAGTGGAATAAGCATTTGTTAATGGTAGATACAATAACTAGTGATTTCCATCAATGTAAAAGGCATCCAATGCAATTTCAGGGTGACAAAAACAAAAATATTCTGGACGATGAAATCTGTCTGATATTGACCTTTACTATCATTTCTTAGCACATTTTCGTCATCATTTCATACTTGGAGTCTTTGAAATTGCCCAAAAACATGCTATGTAAGATATCTCTCTCTTTATTTTTTCAGTGTACCATCAATATTTAGCTAATTTCTCAAATGCTGAGTGGTAAGCAGAGATGGCATTATGTACCATTTTTAAAGCCTTTGGTATGACTAGGCCTAAGATTGAACTCACAACCTACCAAATGCAAGGCGAGCACTGTACCCACTTGGCCCACTTGCACCAATAATAACAAAAAATTGATATCCTATTATCTGTGATGTTACAGAAAAAGGTGGACCCTGAGCTGCAGGTTGAAGTGAAGCCGTCCATCCGCGCGCGTAAGCTTCAGGAGGAGAAGATGCGGCGTCAGCTGGCCAAGGAGGAGTACTGGCGCAGACGTGATGAGGAGGAGCGCTGGAGACAGGAGATGCGCTGGAGAGAGGAGGAGGAGTACAGGTACACTCCAGCAGATCTTCTCACCATGGACATGTTGTAATATTGTAGCTTGATAATGATATGTATTGGCAGGGCTCGAAATACTTTTTTTCTCCAAACCTACACTGGTGCAGGTAGACAAATTTTACCTACACCTACAGAATTTAGGAAGTATGAATCATACTAAAAACTGTTCATAAAGTTCAAACCATTGCCATTATTTCTTTTATACTTCATGCAGCACATAAAAATCCACATGCACCTAGATTTGTATATAAAGAATATTAACCCAGTGCAAGTTACCCAGAAGGTGTAGGTAGACATAAAAAATACCTGCACAGCTTCAACTTAAGCTGCACTAAGGTGCACATACCTCCAGTATTTCGAGTCCTGATTGGCACTCATAGTAGAATGATCTTTTTTCTTACACAAAGGGTATACAACACAAGGATCAAATTTTCAACAACCCCTGTCACCTTCATCAGGATAAATAATAATAAATCAGTAAACAGACACGTGACCTTATTCACATGAGACTTAACAGATGCGTGATGTCAGCTGTTGATCAAATGTGCCACTTGTGTACCCTTTGTGTTGGAGTTAAGTTTAGCGTCATGCTATGATTAATTATACATGTTGGTTTATGACTTGACGTATGATGGCAATGTTTGACCATACCCAGCACTGTTAAATGCTTTGTTCAATGTGGCTGACTCAGTGAATAACTGAGGGGGAAAGGCCTGGCATGTAAGGCTGCCTGTAGAAGGTTTGTGTACGTTATTATGTACATTAGGCTGTATGAAGAGGAGATGATGTATTGGCGTAGGATGGAAGAAGAGGAGAGATATTGGGAGGAGCGGCGGCACTGGGAGGAGGAGATGGAGTTCTACCGGCGCCGCGGGCACCCGCCGCCCCCGCATTTCCCCCCGCAGCCCCCAACGCCCCCCAAACCGCTGGACATGGTGAGCACGTGCTGTGACCCTTAACACCCCCCTTCTCCCCCACAGCCGACAGCAGTGTTTTCAGAACCATGGGTGGAAAAGGCTCCAGGACATAAGGCTGCACTGATTAGATTTTATGGATGACATCCGCGCACACATTGATTTTTGCCCTTTCTAGAAAAAAATTGACACCCGACTACGCTCTGGCCTGGGTGCCATACCGAAGCTCAACTCGAGAACTCGTGTTGTAAAAGTGTAAAAGTAGTAACACTGGTCAGTTTAAATTGGGAAGTTCAGTTTCCCGATTTCGTGGGGGCCATCTTGGTCATCCAATTTTCTAACTTTTTTCTACTGAAGATACAGTTCACTTTTACATGTCATTGGAAAGAGCATGATTTCCCCTGCATCATGATGTCTTTAATTTGGTCATAACGTGTAACATTATGAAGATATTCTGTTTTGAAAGTTGCCCAGGCCAGTGGTCTATTGGCTGGACCATGTGAACCACACGCAGACCACACATGGTTATGCATAGAACACAGTGGCCTAGCAGTAGCCCACTCCAATGCAAATGAGTTATAATTGGCCATTCCACATTGTACAAAGCACTCGCATAATGAGTTATCACACCTTGCTTGCCAGACCATGGTCAGACCACTGGCCTGCACTGGGTTCAATGGGCCAGGTGATTAGAGGTGTGAAGTCCAGTCTGGCCAGGGCCAAGACCACAATGGTCTGGGCCAATCAACACCTTGTTGTTTATACAGCCCACCTGGCCTAAATTATAGCCCATACATGGTTTTCCCTCAGACCAGTGGTCTAATGCATTTTCAATCAGTCATATCTAAGCCTATGAACATCACTAACTAATAATTTTCACATGACTACTTTCGTGATGAAAAGAGCTTTCAGATAATACCACACTTATAGGCAGAAATTTGATATTTCTGAAGTTTCCCAATTGCTTCTGTTTTTCCCAATTTGAACTGACCAGTGTTTAGTCATCTTTACAATACAATACCAGCTTTGTATTTCTCTGGTCACAGCATTTTTGGTTTGGCTGGAATTTCTTTTATTCACCCATGCACACTAGTTTGGGGGTCTTCATAGGATGTCATCCATTAAGTTTAAGTCAGTGTGGCCTTAGAAGATTCTCCTGTGAATAACCTGGGACTTCAATCCTTCCATGTGGCTGAAAACACTGACTGAAAAACATGCTAGACTACAAACCCACGTAACAGTAACATGTGTCCCTCCTTATGTCTTACTCAAAAATCACACAGAAGGGAGAGGGGTCGCAGGGCAGACTTCGTCGGTTTTAACATGAGGGACATCGCTGAATTTCCAGATGCTGTAAGTCTTGAAAATTCCACTCTCCTTACCTAACTCCTTTTTTCTTTTCTCACAGCTCTGGACTTGGTGCCAGAGCAACGGTAGAAGGTTCTGTGTACGGCAGACACCCTTATGTCTGTGTAAAATATCCAAGCCCCTGCCTTCTTCTTGTAAAGCTATCA